CATGATTTTTGATAATACTGGAAATTGCACATGGAGAGGTGAATCCAGCCCAAATATGACTGGTCTCCACTGGCAATGCCAATAACCCTAGTTCGTTCTCAGCTGTCAAACAACATCTCCGCACTCATCCTGTTTTCTACTCATCTAGCATTCAGTTCCATATAATGTCATTACAGGCTAATATGAGCTTTAATTTGCTGTAATTCCTTCTGTCTATTTCTTGTGTGCCCCCACCATCCCCCTACATCATGTCTGACCTAAATGTATCAAGTGCTGATGAAAATATTCCAAAAATATCTCCATATTAGGGTTAGCAGAAGAACCAATTTATTATATTGTCAGCAATGTGTCCCAACTGGGTAGTTTAAAGTGAGGACATTTTAAATGAAACCAGGAAACAGGCCTATGAGGAATCTTAAATTACAAAGATTGTTGTTGTTCACAGCAACCAATCAGATGTTCTCTTTCATTTTTCTAGTGCAATGATGGAGGACAGAAGGATGATTTTGGTTGCCTGGTATTCCTAAGTGGTCTGGGGCCTGCTACTTCATTTGAAACTACACGTCTTAATGTACCCTGCTATCCCATGGTTGTCATTGCTTGCCAGGATTTGTAGCTCTATGGAACCACAAACTAATTGATGATTTTCTTAAATCTTATAAGAACCCACTGAGTTTATTATAGAACCTAACAATACTTTGTTTCTGGTCTAAGGCTGGCCATAGACGGGTCGTTTATCGGCCGAATTTTCGGCCAATAAACGAAAAATCAGTCGTTGCTGGCCGTTTTTCATGGATTTTCCAGCATGACCGATAAAAGTAAACGAGAAGATCCACGAAAAACGGCCGACGGGCTGGCCCCACTAACAGAGTGAATATCGGACGATTTTTCGTGCGGACAAAAATTTGGCCGATAACCGACCCGTCTATGGCCTGCATTAGTTTCGAAACTGATCGAAAGATATTTCTCTACCTGACATTGCTTTTGGTGCCATGCAGTCTAGCCTCCGAAAAGCCATTGCTTTTCAACATGGCCCCCATTAAAAGGTGATGGTTTCTTCGGTCAGGTTGTATGCAGGCAATAGCAGTGATAGGCAGGGTTTATAGGCCAATCAAGTGCTGGGGCATGTAAACAGATAATGTACTTTCTAACTGAAACCTGAAATCCTCTTCAAAGGCTAACTCTGCTCAAAAAAATGTATATATGAGTTATAGATCAATGCTGGTGAATTAAATCACTCATTGGCTTTTTCTATACTACTCCAGGAGTGACAACATCTCTTTGCTCCAAAGGTTTCATTCATCCTGATGCATTTTACATAGACCTCCCTTGACTTGAGTACTGTAAGTGAGAAGATGTGAGAACCATGGAGACCTCTCCACAAGAACCCTAAAAGAAGATAAAGTGTTAATTAATTTAACCTGCTGGAACCTATCGAAAGCAAAACCTGTATCAGTCTTGGCTGCCTATAGATAGTAAGTGTCAAGACACAAGGTTTTTGCTGGATTTAGTGTTGCGGTGCATTACCACACATATTTTCATGCATCGCTGTAAGACAGTCCATTCGTATTTCCTATGCTGCCAATGTACCACAATGCAGGTTTGAATGGAACTTCTGCACTTATTTCGATGCAGCGCATCACAATTCACAGATGGGTCACATCTATGCATTATGGTGTTCTAAAATGCACCTGCATTATTGTGCACTGGCAAGGTGAGTTGAGGTGTCATTGAAGATCAATGACACAGCAACACACCACATCTATTGTTGTGTGCTATCCAGGGGCGGACTGACCATTTGGAAACTCGGGCACTGCCCGAGGGCCCGGGGTCAGTAGGGGGCCCCATGAGATGCCCTTGGTACCTTTTTCATAGGCTTTTTTGAGTTTGGGCAAGGACACGGGGCCCCATGAACCTCTATTGCTCAGGGGCCCCATGAGTTGTCAGTCCGCCCCTGGTGCTATCATGCCTTGTAGTAAGTGGTACAGCAAGTGTTTACTGCATGTAACTGCAATGTAAGAGTATAAATCGAACCTAAAGGATCTACTGTTTGTTAATGAGTGTTTTACTAAGGGAAAAAAGTTATCTAAGTTTCTACTCTTGGCTGAAAGGGTTGTATTTCTTCCAGCTAACCTGTATCTTAAAACAGTGCAAGTCCTTCCATAACAATTATGAAAAATTCCTCTCCTTTTATGATTGTGATGGAAAAATGGGGCAGATATTAAATAAGGATGGGGACAATTGTGCTGACTGTATGTGTGACCTAATCACTGACACCAATGGAACCTTAAGGTGATACTAAATCCAGGACCCTGCCTTCACTATATCTGGTCTCCCACAGTACACAGAACATGGAAATGCAATTATTTTAGTAACTATAAACTGCTAAATACCTATTCTCATCAGCAGTTAGAGCAGTCTTGTGACCTCAGCAGAGCACTGGTTAAAGCTTGTAGGAGGAGTTTTCTTTCTGCTCTAGGAGGATGTGAAACCCCCTGACCCTCTGTCTGGACAGTGCTGATTGGCCTGTGCTGATCACACGCACTCTCCCAAGAAAAAAAAAACCTCTCTAGCAATTCACACAAAACTGAGCATGTGCATGTGACTACAGATTCAGTCTGTATCAGGTGGTCATTTCAACAAGAGGAGGGGCAGAGAAGAAAGGATCAAACAGCCTTTTTACACAATGCAGAGGATTAACCCCTTAGGTTCCACAGTGAGTATAACAAGCATGCTTTACTGCATATACAGACTGATTTTACTGTTGTGGGTTTAGTAACACTTCAAAAATCGTTAGTGGTTTTTACATTATTGCAATTGGCTTTGAATGGTCACGAACAAAATCGTTCAATGCACAGAATATGTTTTCCATACCACCAGCCGATTACTAGAGAAGTGAATGGCTGTAGTTTTTTGGGTTTGTGCCCCAGAATTGAGCCATAACATGCATAGTGTGGTCCTTAAATGATGCATTAAGCTGCTAGAAACAAAAATTGGCAGCTGTGTGGAAATACATTTTAAGTTTTTAATACCTATCTGCCTACCCACTGTACATCATGACATCAGTTGCCATGGCCAGTAGAGATGCCAAGCTGACCAGCTTCACAAAGGAGATATTTTGCTGCTCCTGGACTTTGCACACATGCCCTTCCCGAATAAACCAACATTCATTAATTATCTAGCATATAAAAATACAACCCTCTTTATCCTAATTCCATGAGCTGCAATTTATTCTATAGAAAGGTTAGTGCTATATGCAGGAGAAAATAGCCAAATAGAATGCAAACCAGATCAAATCTCACTAGAAGGTCACCTTAATTCAACAAAATAATGCAACAGAATGCACTAACATTTTACGCTTTTGGCCAGACCAGGAGCTATGTCATGTTGTCAAGGCTAAGCATGTAAACTTCAGCTTTAAGAGGACCTGTTGTTCCCATACAGAGCTGGTAGCCATTTTGTGTGTTAAAACTACTCCTTGAGTTTCATTCTAGTGAACTGATAGGCTGTATATTTGGAAATACTGGGCCAGCCAGCCAACAAAATAGCTACCCCTTTCTGGGCAGTTGCACATCAACATATGAAGGTCACCTTGTATCGCTGGGGGTCAACAAATGTTTTGCGTTTTTATTAACAGATACAAGTCCTAATTCACCAAGCTGCAATACTGCTTATTTTAACAAAATCAACCTTTCCCTCTGTCCACACCACCAAAATGCTGCTCCATTCAAGAAAAATCCTCTGATGAAGTCTGCTGGAAAATTCAACACCTCTGGGAGTGTCAACCTCTTCCATCCCCTGCAGTACTCAGTGATTCCTCCCATCACTACTCGTCCTGTGTCATGGGGAACAAGGTGATCAACACTCCAGAAAGTGTTGATTTTCCAGTGAACTTCATCTGAGGATTTCTCGTGAACAGACCAACAAGAAAGATATTTTGTCTCTTCGTTTAAAGCCTGTTTTGGATTTTTTTTATAATAGGGTTGGTTAAAGATTTGCAAAATAGGCTTTAAAGTCTATCTGAACTCAAATGCTTTAACAAATAGGCTTGCTACAATATCATACGATAATACTGGATGAAAGTTAACTTTAGCATGCCGTACACACCTATTAAAGTGCCTTAAATGCTATTGCAGCTTGACGTATCAGGGCCACTGAGTTTGATACTGTATATAAAGCTGAAGCAATGGGAAAAAGAAGATGGCCATAGCAAGCAATGGAATTTCAGCTTTATTTCAGATACTGTTAAAATCTGGCTGGTTGCAAGAGGAACACCTCCATTTTTCTTTGCTGTGATTTGCAGAATAAACCCCTCACCTCCATTCCATTCACTCTATAACTCTACTTCACACATTTCACTCATGTCTTAAGTTTTTCTGGCCTCCATTTTGCCTTTACAATGGGCTATAAGTCTGATAATTTACCTATTTTCCCTTTTATTTTGTGACACTTGAAATGCCACAGCAAATATTTGGCTATCTCCTTTCCTTTATTTCTCAGCCGAACGGTTTTCCACATCCTTAATTCATAGCTGAAAAATACCCCATGAAACTCCTAGTTTACCCCTATTTTACCCCATAACACCCAAGATGGCACCTGTATTACTTAGAACAAGGGAGAGGGGATTGGGGAACGGAGCGGACGGGGAAGAGGATGGGAGATAAAAAAGCACTGTGGTGGATGGGAAAAAAGCAGAAGAGAAGAGTTGGTATGAGAAAAGACAAGATGGCCAACAAAGAAATGGAAACCAAACTAGAAAAGTGAAGAGGGTAACTTTACAAAAGGATGTTGAAAAATTATGGCGAAAGAAGAGGGAAATATGGAAAGGAGCAAAGGAAGAAAAGAACAAAACATAAAAGGAAGACATTGAAAACATAAGACATAAAAATGAGTCCAAATCAGAACTGAAGAAACTAGACTTTAGAAAGTGTCAAGGGCACAGAGAAGTCTTGGTGGATTGAGCTGTCCTTCAGTTGCCCCGCAGGTGCCGTAAGGATAATTCAGTTACCCCAATCATTATCATGGTGCTGAGCTGCGATGATAATAACCACTGTGAGGATGGTACACAAGACCATGGCAGCGATCCCAATGGCCAGGCTGATGAAGGAAAAATTCCGAGCTTCACGAGAGGCAATTTCTGCTGACATGATGTCTCCTCGAGCCAGAGCTGTCCTGACCTGTGGAACCACAAAGAAAAGTTATACTCCAATCATGTAATTTGTGATAATCTAATTTGTGATAAAACCTTGCTACTACCGAAGAGGTCACTAAGGTTTTTCTCAGAAGCCCATCCTACTAGCTGCCCCCCTGGATCCTGTCCCCTAACAACTACTACGGTCACCCTCTTCTTCCATCCTATGCTCCCTCACTCACATCTTCAATCTCTCCCTCTCTAACGGTGCCTTCCCCTCCCCTCTAAAGCATGCACACATCACTCCCATACTTAAAAAGCCCTCCCTGGATCCCAGCAACATGAACAACTTAAGAACCATCTCCCTGCTGCCATTTACCTCTAAACTCCAAGAACGCTTAGTCTACAATCTCCTGAGCTCCTACCTCACTGACAACAACCTTCTTGACCCTTTACAGTCTGGCTTTCGCTCACTACACTCCACTGAAACTGCCCTACTAAAACTCACTAATGATCTACTAACTGCTAACACCAATGGCCACTACTCCCATATTCTTGCTACTTGACCTCTCTGCAGCTTTTGATACGGTTGACCATCCCCTCCTCCTCAAAAAACTCCACTCTCTTGGCCTCCGAGACTCTGCTCTCTCCTGGTTCCCCTTTTACCTATTCCTATTCCACTTCCTCTTTCTGTAGGGGTCCCTCAAGGTTCCGTCCTTGGACCCCTACTGTTCTCCATCTACACCTCCTCCCTTGGTCATTTGATAAACTCCCATGGCTTTAAGTACCATCTCTATGCTGATGACACAAATCTATCTTTCTACCCCTCACCTCACCCCTTCAGTCTCCTCTCGCATTACTAACCTACTAAGCAACATATCGGCATGGATGTCACTCCACTTCCTCAAACTCAATCTTTCCAAAACTGAGCACTTAGTATACCCTCCAGCCCATGCCCCCTCCCCCGCCTTCTCCATCAAAATCAATAATACAACCATCAGTCCCTCCCCTCATGCCAGGGTACTAGGTGTAATCCTAGACTCCCATCTGTCCTTTCAGTCCCAAATCCAATCGCTGTCTAAATCTTGTAGACTTCACCTCCACAACATCTCCAAGATACGCCCGTTCCTAACCTCGGAAACTACTAAGCAACTTATTCACTCCCTTGTTATATCACGCCTCGACTATTGTAACTCCCTCCTCACTGGCCTGCCTCATCGCAGGCTATCCCCTCTTCAGTCTATCATGAATGCTGCTGCCAGACTCATCCACCTTACTAACCGTTCTGTATAAGCCACCCCTCTCTGCCAAACCCTCCACTGGCTTCCCGTTGCCCAACGAATAAAATTCAAAACATTAACAATAACATATAAAGCCATTTATAACTCTGCCACAAATTATATCACCGATCTTGTCTCCAAATATCACCCAAATCGTACTCTCCGCTCCTCGCACAACCTTCTGCTCTCTAGCTCCCTTGTCTCCTCCTCCCATGCTTGTCTCCAGGACTTCTCCAGAGCTTCCCCCATCCTCTGGAATTCTCTACCCAATTTATCAGACTATCGCCTACTCTGCTCACTTTTAGGCGATCTCTGAAATACTATCTCTTCGGGGAAGCCTATCCTGCCGTCAACTAATAATGGAATCTTCTACTCTTCCTACCAGTCCATCTCCCACAGTTACTAGCTTTTGTACCACTAGCCCCTCCCTCCTAGATTGTAAGCTCCTATCCCTCTTGTATTGAACTGTATTGTTGCTGTATTGTCTCCCGTTATATTATAAAAGCACTGAGCAAACTGTTGGCACTATATAAATCCTATATAATAATAATATAATAATAAAGCAAGAGCCTAGGTGGTTCAGCATCTTTGCCTTCTGAGCTCATATGGGCCAAAAAAACATATAACTGCTCAATGCACTGACTGTACACTGCTGTGTTGAGTAAGAACATGAAACATTGCATGAGGCCATCTTTTTTCCTTTGTATCATGTGTACCCTAATTTGTTATAAGAACAACTCCCTTAAGGAAATTAGGCCTCTTGTCTACATATACACAAAGGGAGTCCATATTTATTTTAGTGGTTGGAAGCATTGTACACATTTCTACTAGAAAGACTGGTGGCCTGGGAGGAGGACAAATATGAACTTTATTAAATTACTTGGACCAAATAGACCACTTTAAGACCTTGGCAAATCTTACCTCATACCTAAGATAATTCTAGGGTCATTGTTGCTTCCACCATCCTACCAAACCCCCATTAACTTTTTTTTATTTCCTTTTCTCTCCTGTATGTATGCTTCCTTATTCCTGCCTCCCATTTCTTCTGCTCCCTCAGTGCTCCTTTACAGAATCCATTATCCTTCCTGGGATACCTAAATACAAGAATGCTCCTTTCTTCTACTTTTCGTCTGTTCCTTTAGTCCTGTGGGTTCATATATATATTTCAAATGGACAAACACAATTACAAAGAATTCCTATAGAATGAAGTGATACTTGCAAACCTGATTTCTCAGTCAAAATCCTGTTTGCGGAAGTTTTCTCCCTCACGCTGCTTTTACCAATTTATTATTGGATTTAATCATATATCTATTTGTAGATGATTGCTCAACTTGATATCTATACTTCTCCGGAAAGTGAAATACTGGGATCTGGTCATTGTTCACTTTCCTTTGCTTGATGGTCTATGTAAAACTTTTTCTGTATTCTTTAGGTATTATTTCTTTAATTGAATGCAATAACTCATTTGGGCATCTAGATGTGGTGAAGACAACTTGCTGAAGTTCAAACCGTTGGAGAGTACAGGGAGCTGAGTACTTTCATGTTAAAGCGCTAGGCCAATTTCCAAGCACAAGCACTAGCATGAGCAGCAGGCAGGTAAGTCCACCATACCATGAAATAGAATTGTCTACGTTCCTGGTGGCAGCCTTTACTTTGCTTAAATGATTATCTTTGAAAATACCGTCCAGACTTGATTTTATTACTTTCAATGTGGATGTTGCAAGTTAAAAGAGTGAAGGCAACAGACATTATGGACATTATATACTAGTGACCCCTGCATGCTGTGTATGAGCTCAAGTTTTAGGCCTCTCCCAATGTTGGTGCAATTTTGCCACATCCATTATTTTGCCATGGCATGCATAGCATACCGCTATGAGCTACACCCAATGCCCTGCCCCCTACTCCACCCCCATTCTCAGGAATTATGATATCCAATAAGGTATGTATAGGCCAGGGGCGGACTGACAATTAATGGGGCCCCCGGGCAATAGGTGATCATGGGGCCCCTGTGTCCTCGCCCACACTCAAATCACACCCAGAAAAGCCTATGAAAAGTACCAGGAACATCTCATGGGGCCCCCTACTGACCCCGGGCCCTCGGGCAGTGCCCGAGTTCCTCAATGATTAGTCTGCCCCTGGTATAGGCTCACCTCTGAAACAGAGATTCCTTTTTTACAGAAGGCACAGTGACTCCTAACTTGATCTCCTGGCACCATTTATAATGTTAGATCCTCTCCTGGTTACTAACCAGAAGGAAAGATAATTGCAATTATCAGAAGAGCAAGGCATCTGTTCAAGTTGTCTTCCCTTGACATATGTCTGAGTCTAAAAGGCGGGACTTAAAGCAGAACTAAACTCTCTCAATCAATATGAATTATCTTAATCCTTATGCTGCTAGCATTAGTAAATTAGACAAGAAGGTAAATTATATTTACTTGTTTTAAACTTGTTTTTTACATTCAGTTGCTTCCTGGTTTCTGGTCTAGGTCAAAATGATGTCATACATCTCAAGAGTCTTCACAGGCATTTTTTTTCCTTCATCTGGAGGAAGGAGGGGCTTCTCAGCTAAGCACATGCACCTGCCTGCATGCCTGAGCTAAGGGCAGATGGATTCCAGGAAGTAAATGCTACATGAATCATCTGACCTTACTCAAGATGATTGCAGCTAGAAATGCTAGGGTGGGGGACATGGATTAGCGAGTTTGCTTTCAATATTAAATATGACATTTCAGTTGTTGGTGCTCTGACACAGTTTAGTTCCGCTTTCAGCTGACACCATACACTAGTAGAATTATGGTTGAAAATTTACATTTTTTCAATTTTCCTTTGATTTTCTTATGGTTAGTGGGGCCAAATGAACATTTATTTTCAAGTGATGAGAAAATTCAAAGGGGCACGATGGAAAATTTTTTCTAGAGCGAACGAAATTCTAACTGTGAATGTGGTTTTTGTTGGGGACAATGTATATATATGAAACCTGTTTAATATGTAGGAAGGGGTTATGTTAGGATTCTCCTTTAACAGTGGCCACTCCCCTTTGGAGGTGTGCCACGGGGTTGGTTTAATTAGTGGCGGGAGGAGCCAAACTTGGAACATCTTGGGATGTTGGCAGTGTAAGGAGAAAGTTGTGCCTCTTAACAGGAGAGCTCCCCCCGGAGCCTGGGGGAAGCAATGAGGACCAGTGAAGGCCTATGGCCCGTATTGTGAAGAGCAGCGTGCCTGAACTGTAAGTAGCACCACTGCAGCCCTCCTGAAATCAATGGGATAGTTCTAAAAAGTAGTAAAACAGAAATAGGAAAGTTCTATTATTGCACAATAATGCCAAACTTTGGACTTGTGTGTCTAATTGCACTGAAGAAATGCCAATGTATGGATTGTTGTAACCTGGTAACCCTTTTAAGAAATTCAGTAAAGTTCAAGCAAAGACAATCATTGCCTCATCATTGTCTTCGTTGAGGAAGAGTGTATTTATTGAATGTCATGGGTCATAATAAACCAGGGTTTCTAAACCAGGGTTCCAGAGGAGAAAGTGGACTGCACCTGCCTAAAAGGTGCTAAAAGGACATCAGAGATTTTTCTGTAGAATAAGGTTGTATAGCCATCAGAACCTGGTCTACCAGATTTAAGGCTTTTAATTGCCAGGTAGGGTTCAGGGGAGGAGAGGTTTTGTTCTGGGATAGTGGAAAGTCGGATGTCTTGGAAAAACTCCTCCACCATTTTCCATGGGAAAGGGGCCAGGAGATGTATAACATTAAGTCTTGGTCCA